GAGAGAGAGAGAGAGAGAGAGAGAGAGAGAGAGAGAGAGAAATCACCTAAATCTAGTAGGCCGTAAAACCAATACGGTACAAAAGAGAAATAGAATTTGAAAAACAGTAATAACATGTCATCAACATTTTCCCTACCAACAGGTGTTTGGTTCTCCCGATGAGACAGCGCGCCAACAGACATCACTTCGCGCCAAGCCACCGCCTGTCGTCTGCAGCCATGACACCTGTGACCATGACCTTCTTCCACGACGACCCCCCACCCCCCTACCACCCCACAAACCCCAACACAGCTATTAATAGTAACGGAACAGGCAGAGCAAAAAGACGACCAATATTCTATAAATTCCTCAACTTTTTCCGAACTTCTGGAAATTCCGCTATGAGGACTGATGCTAATAATACACACGCCGGTAATGACGTCGTTAGTCGAAACAGACATGGCGTCGGTTCTGGCGCTCGGAGTTCTACAGATTCGACTCTCAATCTGATCAACTCGAGAATTTCTTTCACTGACGTTTTACGAGCGAATTCAGAAGCAGGGGAGGTTATCATGGATAATCCGTTAAGAGCGTCAGTCTCCAATGATTACCAAGAGTTACCGGACGTCTCAACGATTCGCTCTGCCCCGAGGAGGGAGGCGGAGGTAGTGGACGATAATGAAGGTAGTATATTCGACGATATTATTGAGGATAGCAATTACAACGATGGTGTTGTTGATGATGATAATAATCCGCCTGGAGAGGTGCGAAATCCAGACACCGATTCGGACAGAGACGAGAGAGAGGAGAGGCAACCGCATACAACGTTAACCACAAATGGCTTCCTCGGTCGCCATGGTAACTCACCACTCCCTCCTCTGCCCCCTTCAACACTTCCGCCGTCATTATCGTCTGCACAGAGTACGTCACTTTTCCCCCATGCCCCGTCGCCTCCTCCTGCTAGGAATGCAAACATTGTTTCTAATGAGAATGACGTCATGAATAGCGGGAGCGTCCCTAGCAACGAGGCTTCGCCGTGTTTCAACGGTACAACGAATGGTGTTGCACAAAGTGGCGTCCTTGACAACCATACAATGAAAGTGAAAAGTTTTTCCCAGCAGTCTTCGGTAGAGGTGAGGAACTCTCGTGATGCATGTTTATCCCGGCCATCTCTTCCAGTCCCACGGTCATCGTTACCATCATCGTCGTCATCGTCACGGTCATCGAATCAAGAAGCAAACAACGGGTTAGTTCATTGTGTGGTCACGGTGTCTGCTTCTGCAGAACAGAACAGTAGCTCCGAGAGCAGCAACAACAACAGTAACAATAATAACAATAACAACAGCAACGCAAGCAGTAACAACAACAACAACAATAATAACAACAACATCAGCTGCAGCAACAACAACAACAGAAGCTTGGCCGACTACAACGATACAGAGAGCGGTGAGGCAAACAACACAGACAGAGACAACAAATACCATCATTATAGTGTAGTGGGCGTTTATAGCCACGACCAAGACTCGACCAGCGCCACCTATATTGACCCTTGCAGCAGCAGCATCAGCAACAGCAGTAGTCGCAGCAACAGCATCACCACTACCACCACCACAACCAGCAACAGGTTGAGAAACTGCAACAGCAGCAGTGCCAAGGATACAAACGTTCCCACTAGTGTAGCTGATGACGTCAGCGGACATGCCAACCTCACCAGTAGCAGCGGTATCGTCGTCAGTCACGGGCAGGAAGACAACAGCGTCTGCCCACCAAGTCTCAGCCACAGCCACAGCCACAGCAGCAGCAGTAGCAGCAGCAGTGGTGTATATGGAGGTGCCAGCTACAGCTACATCAGCAGTAGTAGTATAGGCCGCAGCAACAGTGGCATTGTCAGCAGCAACTATGGTGTGGACAACAGCAACAGTGGTGAGGAAGAAGGAAATCAGGGCTTCCAAAGTAGTAGACCGAACAGCAGAACTGAAGGAGTCCCCGACACTGCTGCACAGAGCAGCAACAATAATAATAGCAACATCGGCGGCAGCAGCAACATCAGCAGCAATAGTAGCCACAACAACAACCGAGACTGCAGCGACCATGATATCGGTGCCAGCAATGACAGCCGCAGTACGAGCAGCGGTGATAACGCACACCGCCATCAGATTGTGACCCCCATGGCAAGCGTGGACGAAGACGGCTATCAGATCCCACACCTAGTCAGAATCTACGACAGACCGGATCAGAACCAGGAAGAGCATGACCCAGTCTACCACAGTCTCAAATTTCACAAGGAAAGCTCTTAACATAACTCAGCCAGGGTATTATCTTTTTGTATCAATTGTTTGGCTTTTCCCATTTTGTCTTTCTGAACATCTTTTGTTAAAAAAATCAAAAAGGGCCTGTGGTAGTCACAGACTGATTGCACGTTTGTTACAGTCTAACAGGGAAAGAACAAGAGTTGTTTCTATTTCCCAGTGCAGTTTGCCTGACTGATACACTTGGGGGCCTAGTGGTTAGGCTCTCCAGCTCGCAATCGTAAGATCGTGGGTTCGAATCCCGTCAGGAGCCCAACGTTGTGTCACTGAGAAAGACACTTTACATGAATTTTCCTCCCTTCACCCAGGTGGGAACGGGTAGATCTACCCAGCTATAGACAGCCAAAAATCTTGTCAGTTTGTTAGTGTTTGAGCGCTTAATCGGCTGCTTTCACTGTATGCTCCCCGGGAAGCCGAGAATGTTTCTGAGTGCCATAGTAATAGCGTCTGCTGGGGTAATAATATAGCATTCATGGAGTTTGCTGTCGAGCGGTGGTATGTGCTATACATATACTATTTTGTTATTATTATTAGTAGTAGTAGTACTTGATATAGTCCGGATGGGCCAGATTTTACTTGTATGGAGGAGCAAAAGCTACCGTTTGACCCAATTAGATAAAACATTTCAGAATCAAGCATGTTATTGAGGATTCCATCAAATCGTGCCAAACATGGCAGCTTTTGCCTCTCGATGAAGGAAATCCTTGCTAGACTCGACTGTATCAAATGAATCAAAAGTATCAAATATTATATAAAATGGGCAACGAAAAGGAGTTATTATTAGACTAATGAAAGAACGGCAGTTGTCCACAATTTCTTATCGTAGCTACTGCTAATTCTTTTACTCGTAGTGCTAGTGACTAGAAGGTGGCACTTCTTTATTCTCCTTCTGTTGTTCCTGACTGTCTGTCTTGCTTTTTCTGTGCACAAAAAGACCATTATCTTTTATTGTGTCGGTGTGCTTTTCATTAAATCAATCCCCAAAATCTCCACAAATAAACAAACAAACAAACAAACAAACAAGCAAACAAACAAAACAAACGAACGAACGAACAAACGAACAAACAAAATTACTATTACTAGCAGCATAATCCTAATGGATTGTTGCATGCTTTCTGTTAAATGTTGCATGTTTGAGACCTGCTACTTTGACCTCCAAGCCAGCAACTGTATACATGTGTATCTATCTATGTTTAATTTGCTTTGTATAATTAATTGTATATAGGCCCTACACAATCACACAAAACCCCGAGTTGCCACAATAAAACTGATTTACATGTGAAGGCTACAGAAAACCATATGTATACTATAAGAATACTGGTGAAATATTATTTATCTAGCTTAAACGTTATCTATTATTATTGTTGAAAACTTTTCATTTATATCAAATGTGTGTGGCTTTGGCTCTGTTTGGGGGTGTGAGCTTATAATAATAGAATGTGTTTGTGGAAAAGAGGATGTTCGAGAGAGTAAGTGTGTATGCGTGTTTGTGTGTGTGTGTGTTTGTGTGTGTGTATGTGTGAGCAGGCTATTGTTGTATATATATATATATATATATATATATATATATATATATATATATATATATATATACATGTGTGTGTGCGTTTGTGTGTTTGTGCGCGCGTGTGTATGTATGAATGTGTGTGCGCGCGTGGGTATGTGTGCGCGCGCGTGGGTATGTGTGTGTGTGTGTGTGTGTGTGTGTGTGTGTGTGTGTGTGTGTGTGTGTGTGTGTGTGTGTGTGTGTGTGTGTGTGTGTGTGTGTGTGACACCAAACCAATGTACCAATGTCTGGACAATAAAGCTGAATCTTATCCTGCCGGAGAAAAAGGCAGTTGTCACAATGTATCCTAATCTGTTTTTAGTCAAGTCGCTACCCTAGGATTACAAAGTTCCATCTGTTCAGAAAATTTCTGGCTCAGAAAATTACCTAGTTTTGAGAAATTCGACGAAGAAAATAGCGAGTCTCACAATATTATGTTATTATGTCAAGCTTTTTCGAATACAATTCTTTGAATATCTTGAAAACGACTCAGATTGAATAATCTGTCCATTTTGATGAAGCAGATAGAACATTTGCTTTCTGACCACATGGTCTTACTAACTCAAAAAGGTAAAAAAAAAAATGTCAGATAGAACAGTGTAATTCTAAAGTGGCTCAATGTCTGACTTGTTTAATTTTGTAGCGCATCAGTCATAACCCCCAGCATCTGTGGACGTCTATGGTGCAGTTGTTAGACACTTCACCGTTGCCCGTAGAACTGGCAGATGATGAGAGTTCAATTCTCGTGTAGGGAGAATTTTTATCGAGTACCTACATGTTTCTCCTTTCTGCTGGGAGGTGGTTGTATCCTCCTCTGTCCAGGTTTGCACGGTTAAATCCCGCCTCCTAAATGATCTAAATAAAGTCGATGGAGACGTGAAAATTTCTACACACACACTTAGACGCATACATGCACACACACACATACATTTGGACACTCACCCAGACACCAACTAACGGACAGAGAGAACAAACAGATACACACACACTCACACTCACACTCACACACTCATACACACACACACACACACACACACACACACACACACACACACACACACACAAAACACAGACACCACACAACTATCATATTACACTGCACCAAAAAACTACTGTCCCCCACACTCCATCCTCCCCTCCCCTCACTCACACTGTCACACACTCCTCCTTCCTCTCCCCTTACACACAATCCCTCCCTCCCTTCCCCTCCCCTCCTTCTCCTCTCGCCCTCCAGTCAACATTCCTCCCCCTCTAACCATCCATCACTCCCTCTCATTAGCCGTCACAATTCAGGTTCACGCATCCATCAACATCTCATTACTTCACACAAACTACACGACCTGATCAAAACGTTGGTCTTGGTCAACGCGGGTAGAGTGTTCGCCCCAGGGTTGTGGCTCTAGACTCTAGAGTTTCCGCTTACTCGTAAACAGGTTCGAATATTATGTCTTTGAAAATGGTATAGGTTTAACGCCCCTATCAACACTGCTAGGTTACTTAAAAATCGGGACCTCCTAGTTTAACGTCCATCTTCGAAAGGACCGATCCAAGTGGGAAGTTCGTGTAAAGTGCCTTTCCCAAGGACACAACGTCGGGCTGAGCTGAGGCGCGAACCCCGGAACCCGCAATCTCACGATTAACTGTCCGGTAGCCTAACCAATAGGCTACCGACACCACTGAATATTTGTTGTTTTAGAAAGCGTTTTATGGCACTTGCAACACGACTAGGTTAAAAAAAAAGTGCCGGAAATTAAATGTTACAAGAGAGTAAAAAACAAGAAAGAAGTAAGAGACGTCCGAAAGATAGATGTTTGATAGGAAAAAAGCAGCAAACAACCCACTGACATTTCTGTTCCCTCTAGCTAGCAGCCGTGTTGATTACAATGCTGGGTGTTAGAGTTCGAATCTATTCTGGTGCCTTTGTTATATGGGGAATGATTAGAGCTTTTCAGTTTTCATATCAGATGAAGACACTTCCTATTCTTTTTCTGTAGCTTGTTTATATGTTTACCATGTTTGAGGGAGAAAGAAAGAAAGAAAGAGAGAGAGAGAAAGAAAGAGAGATAGATAGATAGATAGATAGATAGATATATATA